TGAATCAAAGTTATATTAATTGCATACTATAGGTATGTGTAATATATATGCATCATAAAAATATACTATAAATAAGAATTTAAAGAATAAATATTAGTCAATTCGCTGGGCATGCCACATAAGAATATAATTTAGAAATGAATTATCGGGTTTTACTTCGTAAATCAAAAATTAATGAATTAATCAAACGCGCGGTAATTATATATATCAAAGACGTACTAATTAATATAAATAGAATCAGTTTCAGATTAGGTTGGTTCTTGCAAAGACTATTAATATTATCCAGAAACATTTGGATGTGGATAAATCATTCATATGTTTTTTGTTAGCTGCTCCTTTCACTTACATACCAATTTGCAATCAATTAGTATTCATATTTTTTATGGCAAAACAATGTTTTATAGGTGTTTTATATATATATATATATATATATATATATATATATAGGTGTGTATAATTGTTGTTTTCAATTAATTTTTCCAACATAAATTCATTTTTTAAAACTTTTTCTTTATAATGTAAATTTCTTTTAGCTGAATGATGAAACACATCTAGTCTCGAAACGTATAAAAAATTAAAATAAATTTGCTACGAAAGCAAATATTACGGTACGAGAAGTTCCAGCAATTTGCCTTAAGGCACGATGCCACCCACCCCACTAGTTTCTTGTATTTTTTATAACATCTTTATTTTTATTAACTTCCCGTAGGGTAAGTTATAGTAATCGTCCAAAAATCGAAATCAAAATTTTTTACATTTCTCGACGTTTTGAAGGTTTCTGAACATTTTGGCATACTTCAGAAAAAATGGATGTGTGTGTGTGTGTGTGTGTGTGTGTGTTTTGTATGTCCGCTTTTTTTCGTCCACGTTTTCGGGCGCACGGATCAACCGATTTGAATGGTTTAAAAAACATTCGATTCCTATTGATAGGGAGATGTGCTGATTAGTTTTTAGCAAAGGCAGGTCCAGCCGTTACGGAGATATGGAGCAAAGAGTGCAAAAAATAGAAAGCGAATTTTTGAGAGAACGGATCAACCGATTTGAATGGTTTAAAAAACACTCGATTCCTATTGATAGGGAGATGTGCTGATTAGTTTTTGGCAAAGGTAGGCCCAGAGGTTTCGGAGTTACAGAGCTAAATTTAAAAAAAATGGCTGTTTTTGAGAGAACTAAGCGTCCGATTTAAATGATTCAAAGAACTTTCTGCTTTTTTCAACAAAACAATTGATTTTGGAAAAAAAAAATTTTTGTTTCTAATTTTTTTTCAAAAAAATTTTTTTATAATTTTGGACTAAAAATTCAAAAAATCACCCAAGCTAAGCACAGTCTAAGCGCCACTCTGGTACAAATGTTTACCCAAGTGCGTTTAGACTGTACTGGAGCACTTTTCCAATTTTGTGAAAATTATTGAAAAATGTGAAAATGCCGCCAAGCTGAGCACAGTATAAGTGAAAATATCGCACAGAATTATTTGCAAATGCGTTTAGACTGTGACTATGCACTTTTTCAATTTTGTGGAAATTTGGCAACTATTTTTTTTTTTTTGAAATTTGATTCGAAATGAAATGACGATTGTTAATGTTCTGGAGGTGATAAATTGATTTATTTATAATTAACTTTCCGTAGGGTAAGTTATAGTAATCGCACAAAAATCGAAAATGAAAATTTTTATATATCTTTACGTTTCAAAGGTTTCTGAATATATTGGCATACCTTAGAGAAAATTGATGTATGTGTGTGTATGTGTGTGTGTGCGTGCATTTGTGTGTGTTCAGATACAAATTTTCGTCGACGATTTCGGGAATCGGGATGAAGCAATTTGAATAATTCAAAAACATTTTACTTGCATTATCAAGATGAAGATTTGATGAAATTTTTATGAAATTAGGTCTAGCGGTTTCGGAGATCTAGTAAAAAAAGTAAAAAAAAATAACATTTGGCGGTCAACAATAATCATTAGACATTAGACATATGCACATCAAATTATCAGATATTTTATAGAGATTTTAACAATGAGTATACATTTTGTTAACATTCCTATGGGTTCCGTACCAATGCTTATGCGTTAGACAGCGACGCGGCGCTTACGCGCTTCGATATTTAGTCTCTATGCAAAAGCAGTACGATTGCTTTGAAAAAAAGTTCAAAATTTCCAAAATATTTCAAAATAAATTTTTCAACAAAAACTTTTGTCAAAAATTTATATAGTTCCTCAAAAATCTATTTTTTTAGAGTAAATTTTTTTAAAAAATGTTAATCTTTTCAAAAAAAAAATAATTTTTGGTACGGGAAGTTCCAGCAATTTGCCTTAAGGCACGATGCCATGCGCCCCACTAGTTCCATATGTTTCCATACGTAAAATTCTACGTCATCGTCAGCGGTTCTACACATAGATAAAAGAAGAGGTTCTACAATTTTGAAAAAAAAACAGAAAGTGACGTTAAAAACTAAATATACATGGAGCAAAAATAAAAAGAAAGCGATTTAACTAAAGAGACAGACTAATTATATCTAAACCTTAAATTAATATGCAATATTTTAATTTAAGGTTTAGATAAAATTAGTCTGTCTCTTAAGTTAAATCTCTTTCTAATGTATATTTTATTATTGTCTAGGGATAAATGCATGGCCGGTAATCTCGGAACAAACGTCTGTAACCCGAGTTTAGTTAGAGCCCCTGCCGCCGGTCGCGCTTGTTTTTTTTTTTTTTTTTTTTTTCACTTTGAAATAGAATTTGACATATGACAGATACTTAAATTAAACATGGCGTCCATTGTAATAAATTTTTCATGGAGAGATAACCTAGACAATATAATAAATGCTTGTTAGAGTAAAAAACAAATAAGCTGTCGAAGTGCATTGTTTAACGATGAAGAAATACCAAGAAAAATGCATGTATTATGTAGTTCCAGCGAGAAACGACGAAGTAAAAGTAAAATAAGTAATAATATTTGCCGGCTTTCAATCTAAGTGAGTACTTTTATTAATATGCATACTTCGAATTACTTTCATTTGATTGTACTATTCTGATATGATTTTTCATTACAGTTTAATAATTCAGAAATAATTGAGACATTTAACTATATCAATACTAGAAATTTTAAGGTTATAAATAGACAGAGAGAATTCCTGTCAGCTCTCTGAAAGGTATGTTATTAAATAACTAAATATAAATTAATCTTGTTCTAATAATGTAGGATCATAACTAATAATTCTACATCGATTTTTTCAGCAGTATAAAAGGAAAATACGTTCAAATGTAAAATGTTTAGACGGTTTACTAAACACATTCACAAGTGTACAAGTATTGATATGAGATGAATGAATACACAGGAAAAAACAATAAGAATGAAGTCTGAAATGTGCTGAAATCTTTGCTGATCTCCCACTAATATTGAACAGTACGACTCGTAATTATATATTAAGTCAGTTTGGAGAACATACTAAAAACACTAATGATATAATCGTAAGTGAAAGGAAATTCTCAATTAATGGTGAAATTCTAGCTAGTGCAAAGGTTAATTTAGGTTTGGCTATGTCACAGGAAAAGTTTTTAAGTATTAATAATTTCATTTTGATATTACAAGAAATATTATTATCTGTGTTGTTTAATGATGATAAAGGGAATCACATTGTATAGATTTTCAGGAACTGTCAAATGACAGGCAAAGTATAATCATGATTAATGATAAAATTCTAAAAAGCAAAGGGATAAAACACCCTTAATGTGCACTTGCTTATTGCATTTGACTATTCTGAAAGAGATGTCAATAGCTTTACTCTAAAATGTCTTATTGTAGATGCTATAAGAAAACTATTAAGTACTGTTATAATAATATCAATGATTGTTGTTTTTCTTTAAGACAATGATAATAATGACATTTTGAACAAACATTTGAATGCACATTAACAATAGCGCAGAAAAGATTCCCAAATAGAGACTGTACATCATAGATATTATGTAACTTAATGTTAATCAAAATAAATATATATGTAAATATATATATATATATATATATATATATATTGGTTATATATTGATCTGAATCAATATCAATCAAAGAATTGTGGTTATATATGTATATGTATATATATAAATAATATATACATTCATGTACATTTCTATTCTTTTTGTGCTCAGCTTGAAAGGCTGATATGCTAAAATGATATTACACACACATATATATATATATATATATATATATGTATATATATATATATATATATATATATATATATATTTGTATATATATATATATATACATTGTGGATAGCGTGTACATTTAAGTACATTTTTATGCTTTTCGCACATAGTTTTTACAGCTTACTACCATCTATTATAATCATATATAATGTTATATATATATATATATATATATATATATATATATATACATTGTGGATAATGTGTATATTTATGTACATTTTTATGCTATGTGTGCATTGTTTATAAAGAGAACTATGTAGATATAATGTAGAATGTTTTTGTGAAAAATAAATGCTTCAAAAAATTTTTTTTTTTCAATTTTTCTTTTTTTAAATTTTGAATTAAAACGGTCCATATAATTTTGGTTCATTTCTATAGTATTTTTTATACGCACCCGTTCAGGCGACTAGTGCCATCTGTAGCGCGGGGCTTCAACTAACACAGGAATGTGGCAACGAAATATGGCCCGAGAGAGCGATCTATATACTCTTCTTTTATCTATGGATAAATGCTTATTTATCTATGGGTTAAAACATAGAATATTCGAAAAGACGCGCCACTTGTTAAATATCAAAGCGATTTGATAAATGTCTCATCTTTCTACAAATATACCCTATGCTTCAAATGTCAATATTCACTTATTCAGTTAAAATCATTGCCAGAAAAAGAGTTTTGATTAAACTAAATTATTATTTAGCTTACGACTATTTTCGTAAATAGTCGTCAGTGAGTACATTTGTGAAATTTGTGAAATTAGTGAGTACATTTGAAAATACATTGAAAATACTTAAAAATGTCAGAAGAAACAATTATGTCCATAAATGATCAGGCAATTAAAATTGAACCATCAGAATATTCAGTAGAAGATATTAAACCCGAAGTTGAGGATGAATTTAATGTTCTTGATGATATTGTTAAATCTGAATCGTGTACTGAGGATTATGAAACTTGTTTAGAAAGGTTTATGAATTCCGAGGTGACTATAAAAGAAGAAGTTAAACAGGAATTATTCGAGACATCAGCTTATAAATGTGACATTTGTAATCGATCATTTGCCGAATCACACCAATTAGAAGAGCATGTGGTCGATCACATTCCTAGTAATAGCAAAGAAAGCCGATTCGAATGCAAAATCTGTAATAACACTTACGAACTATCAGAAGGGTTAAAATCACACATGAATACACATTCTGAAGTCCATCTTTTTCAATGCAAAATTTGCAGTCATACATTCAAAAAATTGGACACTTTGAAAAGTCACATGTTTATTCACAGTGCAAAGAGTTTCCATGAATGCAATATATGCAATAAGACATTCAAACAAAAATGTGATCTGAAAAGACACATGCTCATTCACAGTGGTGAGCGTGCCCATGAATGCAGTATTTGCAATAAGGCATTTACACAAAATTGTAATCTGAAAAAACACATGCTCATTCACAGTGCGAAGAGTTTCCATGAATGCAGTATATGCAATAAGACTTTCACCCGGTTAGATAATTTGAAAAATCACTTGTTCACTCACAGTGATGAGCGCCCCCATGAATGCAACATATGCAATAAGACATTCTCACAGAAAAGTTATCTGATAAGACACATGCTCATTCACAGTGGTGAGCACCACCATGAATGCATTATATGCAATAAGACATTCAAACAAAAACGGAATCTGATAAGACACATGCTCATTCACAGTGGTGAGCGCCCCCATGAATGCAACATATGCCATAAGACATTCACACAAATAGGTAGTTTGAAAATTCACATGCTAATTCATAGTGGTGAGAGCCCCCATGAATGCATTATATGCAATAAGACATTCAAACAAAAATGTGATTTGAAAAGACACATGGTCATTCACAGTGGTAAGCACCCCCACCAATGCATTATATGCAATAAGACATTCAAACAAAAATGTGATCTGAAAAGACACATGGTCATTCACAGTGGTAAGCACCCCCATGAATGCATTACATGCAATAAGACATTCAAAAAAAAATGGAATCTGATGAGACACATGATCATTCACAGTGGTGAGCGCCCCCATGAATGCAACATATGCAATAAGACATTCACACAAATAGGTAGTTTGAAAATTCACATGCTAATTCATAGTGGCGAGAGCCCCCACGAATGCATTATATGCAATAAGACATTCAAACAAAAATGTGCTATGAAAAGACACATGCTCATTCACAGTGGTGAGCACCAATGAATGCAACATATGCAATAAGACATTCAGACTATTATTAGGTCATCTCAAAAGTCACATGTTGATTTACGCCTCTGTGAATGCAGTAAATGCAACAAAACATTCATATTATTAAGTAGTCTGAACAGTTTCATGCTTTCAATTATGGAGAGCGTTCTTCAAAATTTGAAATATGCAATAAGGGATTAGTTCAATCAAGAGATTTAAGGAAACATGTACACTTCATAGTCAAAAGCGTGATGAAAATAAATAAAATATAAACATATCTGTTAAATTGAATTTAATTATTTGTAAATATGTCTTAATATATATATATATATATATATATATATATGTATGTATGTATATATATTGTATAAATAGTATAAAATATACAGTACACATCATGTAATATGCATTTATTTTATATTTTATAATTTTTTTCAACTATCTTTTATTCGTGTTTTACGAGCTATAGAATTATAAACCATTGGAGTTAACAAATCAGTTAAAAATTTTGTTAATAAGTAAGGAAATTAATCAGTTTGGAAAATGATTAAAATTATCTTTTAATTCTAATAATTGTAGTCATGTGCTATTAAAATTTAAACAAATTGGTTGTTATTTATATCAGATAGTCTAATTTTAATACCAGAATATAAATTTTGGTATGAAGAGTCCTTAACTTTGTGTAATATCCTTCGTTAAATTAATTTTATAATTTGTTCGCTAATCACGTTAACATATAAATTTATAAAATACCTATTATGCATAACAACAAGTAAATCAATAATCATATTTAAATTAACAATAACAAATCAACAAGATCTTTTAAAACAAATTTCAGCAATGTGATAATAACACCAAAACTAATAATAATATCAGGTTAACAATGAATTAGCATTTTGAGACTCATTTTTTATAAAAATTCGCATCCTAACCTGCTATTTTTAATAATTAGTTATGTGGGAGATTGGCAGGTCGCGTCAATTTTAGTAAGCGAGACAAAAATAATAATTGACATGGGTTTTTGTTGGATCATTTGTTTTTGAACTATGTAAAGTTTTGGTTCAGATAAATTTATGAAATTTATCACGGCATAAATGAATAAATATTTTATAATCGGAAAAGTGTTTGATTTCCGATAGTGGTGACCCCGACGTGATATTATGCCGCGCCAACACGGACATTTTAGCTGCCACAAACTGCACATTCCTGAATTTATTCCAAATGACTTGGAACTTTGGTTTGCTTTGGTAGAGAAGGCATTCGCATCTTCCAATATCCACGATGAGAAGGTGAAATATGCATTATTGGTTACCAGGTTGGATATTAGACATTCAACCGAAGTGCGAGATTTGATAATCAATGAGCCTGAAGAGAAGCCTTATTCTACTTTGAAGGCTACGTTAATTTCAAGGTTAGGCACTTCGGAGAAGTCAAAGAAACCAATGATCCTGATTTGGATAAAGAGCCAACTTCTTTCTCTGATCGGAACTCATCAGATACGAATGCAACACTTGCAGAAATGGAAACTGTACCCATAAATTATGCATTCTAAACATTAAGTTATTCTGATATAACTAATACCCATTAGATCGAGAACATTATGCAGAATATGGAGTTGATGGCAGGTCAAATCACCACATACGGTGGATCTGCTGACGAAACATGGAAATTTGTAATTGACCAGTATTACAACACTGGTCTGCTATAATCTGCTTTCCCACCACATTTTTGTAACGTGTTTCCCTGTATTTTTTTTTAAACTGTGAGATCAACACTGGGCAGGGAGTGTGTGGCAAAGTTGCAGTTGTTTATGTCTGATGTAGATTTGGGTGATAGGACGCCTTCTCAATACCTACGTCATTTGAGGACTTTAGTCGGGACTTCGATGACCGATAACGCAGTTAAAGCAATATGGTTATCCAGACTTCCAGTGGAAATTCAACCATTTTTGGAGATTGCTTCTGGAGCACAGTCAATACAAGAGGTAGGTGAACTAGCTGACCGCTTATTTATTAGCCATTCACAGCAACGTGTAGCTGTGATTACAGATGCACAAACCTCTGAGATTGAAACAAAGAATGCTGATCTGCGTCAAATGCGTCAAGATATTGAAGCTGTTTCAAAGCGTTTGGATAAGCTTCAAATGTATCATAAGAAGGAAGTGTCGTTTAGAAGACGACAAGATAACTTATGTCGGTTTCATAGACGCTACGGAAGTCATGCGAGGAGGTGTATATCGCCATGTAATTTTAAGTCGGGAAACGATACGGGCGGTCATTAATGGCGACTAGTGACAAACGCCCAAATAACTCACGCCGCATTTACATCACGTCGGGGTCACCAATGTGGGAGTAGTAATGATTATGATAATATATTTAATTAGAAACTCCCAACATAATAAAAAAATATAAATTTATTAACTATAAAAATATTTCGATATCAAAAATAAACATGACATGTCCCATCGTTTTTTTACAAATAAAAAATCAGCCTGCTTGATATCGCCACAGTTATAACTAGTGGTACAAGGCATCGTGCCATAAGGCAAATACCTGGATCTCTCGTGCCGAAATTTAAATTTTTTTGAAAACTGAAAAAATTAGATTGTTTGAAGAATTTAGAAATTTTTGATTTATAAATTTTAAAATTTCTTGAAAATTATGAAACCCATATTCAAATTGGTTGATTGACTTACTGTCAGACATTGACTGAAGACATTCGTTTTGAATTATATAAATATAAACTTTGGTACCCCTTAAAAAGTATACAAGAGTTTGGGCTTAATATTAACTTCCCGTAGGGTAGTTATAGTAATGGGCCAAAAATCGAAAATGAAAATTTCTGATGCATATCGTCACGTTTGAGAGGTTTCTGAACATTTTTCGTCCACGGGCGCACTGATCAATCGATTTGAATGGTTCAAAAAACATTCGATTCCTATTGATAGGGATCGCGCTGATTAGTTTTTGGCAAAAGCAGGTCCAGCCATTACAGAGATACGGAGCAAATAGTGTAGAAAATAGAAATCCAGTTTTCGAGAGAATGGAGCATCCGATTTGAATGATCTAAAACACATTCGATTCCTATTGATAGGGAGATGTGCTGATCAGTTTTTGGCAAAGGCAGGTCCAGCCATTTCGAACATACAGAGCTAAATGTGCAAAAATAACAGTTTTTGAGTGAACTAAGCGTCCGATTTGAATGATTCAAAGAACTTTCTGCTTGTTTTAACAAAATCATTGCTTTTAGAAAAAAAAGAGTTTTGTTTCAATTTTTTTTTTCAAAAGATTTTAAAAATTCTGACTAAAGTTCTAATATACTTTAAACAAAATAATTTCAACTTTGCAATTTAGTTTCTATAATTTTTATATAAATATTAGACAATGTTACAATATATTTATAAATATATTTATAATAATATATTTTAAAACATTTAATATTCCTAGAACATTTTGTTACGGTACGGGAAGTTTCAGCAATTTGCCTTAAGGCTAGTTAAAATCTCTATTCGATGTGCATATGTCTAATGATAATTTTTGACCACCAAATAGCATTTTATAACTTCCCGAAGAAGTTTATGTTTTCATAGAAAAATTTGCTAATTTTGTTTTCTCGACGTTTCAAGCCATTCTGAATCGCATGAGACCAAATTTGGAAAAAGTATGTGAATGTAAACAGATTTTTTATCTTATATCAACGTTTTCTCAAAAACGCCTAAACTGATTTCAAAATTGTATAATTATTCGATGTATCTTGATGAGGACTTTCGTTTCTCAGTTTTGTGCGATGATCGGCCAAGTCGTTTCTCTGTAAATAGCAGAAAAGTTAAAAATATTTCGTCCACGTTTTAGCCCGCAGTTCTGAAAATTCAAAAACTGTTCGAAAGATATTGGTTGGGAATCGACCTGATTAATTTTCGGTAGAGATCGGCCGGGCCGTTTTCTTGTAATAAAGTGTTAATTTTTTTTGACGATTTTTATAATTAACTTCCCGAAGGAGAAGTTTCTGTTTTCATTAAAAAATCCGATTCGCTAATATTCTGTTTTCTCGACGTTTCAAGCCATTCTGAATCGAATGAGACCAAATTTGGAAAAAGTATGTGTGTGTGTATGTGAACAGATTTTTTGTCGTAAATCCACGTTTTCTCAAAAAGGCCTGGACCGATTTCAAAAACTTAAAAGTCATTCGATGTATCTCGATGAGGACTATCGTTTGTCAGTTTTGCGCTACGATCGGCCGAACCGTGGGCCAAGTTTTTATTTTTGGTTGAAGTGGGCCAAGTTTTTATTTTGGTTGTAAAATGGTAAAAAATGAAAAAACAATCTTATTTTTTTGTAGTTGTAAGGGTACTCCAAAATGCTTTTTATCATAGCAGATGCTTGCAATTATGTTGGAAGTATCTCTGTTTTTGAATGGCAAAAGTGGGACACACAAATTTTTATCTGAAAAATGCTGCTATATTCTTTAAATTATTACTCTGAGAGTTTTCAAATATGCTGATTACGAATCTGTTGTCAAATTTACAAAATTCAAAATCGTTGACTCCAAATGAAGGGTAGAAATTGAAAAACAGTTACTTCAGTAAAAATGTTCATTTAAATTCTGAAAAGAATTTCAGACATGGAATGATAAAATTGTTAAAAAACAAAACATTTTGCAACAATCAAGCACAGATTCTAGGCGTAATTGTTGCACGTCAAGTCGTTGCAGTTGGTCATATCGCACTCGAAGGAGTTTTTTAACTTCCCGAAGGAGAAGTTTATGTTTTCATCAAAAAATCCGATTCGCTAATTTTATGTTTTCTCGACGTTTCAAGTCATTCTGAATCGAATGAGACCAGATTTGGAAAA